GATCTTCTTTGAATCTTCTCTATCTCTTCCCGCGACTGATCATACTCGCTTAGTTTAGCAGAGCTATATCCCGAATCGGAGAAGTAGTCGCTGGTTCTCTTGTTTGCATTCGTGGTAGGGTTGTCCCTCTCTGCTTGTAGTCTGTCTACCAAGTCCTCCAGGTCCATCTCGCGCCGAATTGACGCCGCCAATTCGGCCGAGATGGCCTTCAGTTCTTCTTCCATTTCCTCGATTAGATATTGTGGTGATATCGTAGCGGTTGGCGTCAGGTAAGATTCGCTGTATTCCCTTGAATTCGGAGATCCAAATAGTGCCTTAGGGGCGTCCAGTAGTGATTGTGGTCCAATTGTTGTGACTGGGGATGCATCGGTAACGCTGGCGGCCTTTGAAAAGTTAAAGGGTGAAGGAAGAGGCGAATATCCTTTGTCTGACGTCTCTGTGTTTGAAGGCGAAGAAGTCGTCCAGCCAAAGAACGTTCCTAGCCTTGACGAGCGCGGTGATTTTGGCAAAGGTTTATCGGTATTGGGGGTCTTAATGTCGTTTCTGTCGGCTTTTGGAGTCAACGATGGATCTTCCGGGTTGATCTTCAACTGTGGGGGTGTTGTTTTCCGGGTGATATGTAACGACATAGTATTAGAATGATAAGAATTACGATTATTATTATCCGACGAATCCGAGTTGTATCCGTCGAGAATATTGTCACTTAGCCGGTCCTCCTCTTCGTCACTAAAGAAATCGTCATAGGCGGTCCGTTCGTGGTGTTGCGACGGGTCGGTGATGTGGTGTGTTTGAGAAGCGTCAGGGTTACTACCCTGAGAATTTGGTCGTTCGACTTCACCCGCTGTCACAGCCGGGCTGGAGTCGACAGAAGCTAACGGATGACGAGCTTCGGGGGGTTTCCTGGATAAATTCAAGTATTAATTAGTGACACCCTACTTAGATACCCTACTTTGATGCCCGGAATTTGAGCTGTAGATCAATGAAACCTTGACTTACTCTTTGTTGCTCTGAATCAAGATGAAATCGTGGGGCGATTCCAATCCAGGGTTAACTAGTGGTCCGGCTGGAGGGCGAGGGAACTCGTAGACAGTAGGGCTATCAACCGAAAAGGAACGAGAGAATCTATGATCTGGTCCAGGTAGTCCCTTCGCAAAAGCGAGATATTCTCCCGAGGAATACCTCGTAGCTATTGACGACGCGGTTGATGACAGCGGCTTGCGTCGAATAGACCGGACGGGCGATACCACGGCGGAGCTGTCTATGACAAGCTTCTTCGTGTTTCTCGAACCCGGTAAGGCTTGAGCTGAGTCAAGGGATTCGGGTTGGGATTGGGATTGGGATTGGTCTGGGAGGGAGGGCAACGACTGCTGAAGTAAAGAAAGATCGGATGAGGCACGGGAAGTCTCAGAGTAGGCCGTTAGGGAAGGCCGATGCGGGTGGTTTTGGAGGATCTGGTTCGGCAGAGGCTGAGGGACAGACATGGTGGTCGATATACTATATCTACTCCCTTGTCGTATCATTCATGGTTAGGAGGAATGAGTGGAGTGGAGAGTTACAGGCTTGGGCTAAAGAGATTATCGAATTGGCCTGCCAGAGGGAACTGGTAATGTTTCACTCGATACAATAACAGGAAGGCAACGTGAGTAAACCCAGCAAATAATAGACTGCCAGAAAGAGTGAAGGCGCACAATAGAGAAAGAGCGAAAAAAAGGACCACAACTTGCGCGTGTCTTTGCATGGGGGAGCGTGGGAGAGAGCATGGGAGAGGGCATGGGTTATGGGTTGGGAATGTTCAAAAGGGGTATGGTGGCATGGACTACATGGACTACATGGACTACAGCGCCGGGTAGCGTCGCAATCGGTCGTTTACCCATTATTAGACCATCGAAATGTCCAGGGGGTGAATAAGGGTAGACCTAGTAGACTTAGTACATAACTAGGTACCCAGTGGACGTTTCTATGGTGGCTCTTGCAGAATGAGGCAGGCGCTTGGAAAAAAGATGATGGACATCTTCGTAGCGCGTAACTTTTCCCCAGTTGGTTCCCCCTGGGCGGTTCTGCGTTGGCTTGAGTTGTCCTGAGCTATGCCCTAAATGGTTCTACTTTGGTTCGTGTGGCTTTTCAGCAAGCAATTCTAGTGGCTGATTATTATCATTTACCCCTGTCAGCAGCCTATCCGACTTACTTATTAGCATTCCGAGCCTGCAGCCCCTGGTTACATCCGTTTTTGTCCATTTGCAATTTTAATTCCCTGCAACCGAACATAGAAGTACTTACATACTGAGTAACCTTCCGGGCAAGGCTGGCGTGAGTTGAAGGGGGTGAGAAACAAAATATTTTACAAGCGAATCTACGGATATTTAGCTGACCAAGAGGATAAATTATTTCTGTTGTACCGCTACCCATGCCATGCAACTACACGTAGATTCTGCTTGTGCATTCTCCTGCATACTGCAGGTACCGACCTGCATACGACGGCACTCCCACCCATACCCGACCCGTCATACCTAACCTAAGTACCTAATTGGTAAATGATCATCAATCTCTACCTGTGGGGAGATGGGGGAGCATCGGGTTCGCTTGGAGATACGTGCGTTGTAATTAATCTTACTTCGACTTACCTATCCCCTATTGAGATTGACAGATAAAGCAAAGATCGATCTCAACCAGCTGATTGATGAATTCGTAGCGCGGCTAACGGAAATTTCGTATGTAGTGGAAGACCAGTTGCTATTATTACCTACAAGAAAAAAAATGAATACAGGATATAGCGCGCGGTAAAGTATAGCGTCAATGATGGCCAGTGCAAAACTAAACGGCTAGTTACTAGAAATAGTTACCCATAAACTGAAGGAAGCCAAAAACCGCATAAAGTCAGATCGTAAAAGAAACTTCGTACCGTAATAAGCCAAGGAACCCCAGACTTGACAAGTCCGTCTAGGCTTAACCCTGACCCAGTAGCCAACTTAATTAGTTTGATCTCTTTTATTAACTTGAGCCTCAATTCGGAATCCGGTAAACAGCACGCCGTACGAAGTATTACATACAAGTTATGTACTACATTAGACACGTGGTATGAACTACGATATAAATGCCAACAGCGGATTTTACAAAATGTATTGTGGACAATTCCAGTTCCGAGAAATCAGAACAGCGAAGAATATAATCAAACAAGCACTCGTAGGGTAGGCGCAGTATTCTTGAGCCGAACGATTTCGCGGAGATGAATGATTTGAGGGTCGACCGGTAAATCAGGACCCTTCCCATTAACTGTCAGCACTTTCGATCCTGGTGCGCATCAGTGGGACGGTCGCTCCCAGTAGGGGAAGAGGCCGAGACCAGACTCGTGATCGCTTAACTTACCTTAGATAGCATAGCATCTCCGGGGGGCTACCAAAAAAGTCACTCAGAAATATAACTGGTCCATTGATAGGTCTAGAGAGAGACTTCGCGGAACTTAGTGTAGGTATTAACACAACAACAAATGGAAATTCCGATAGGCGCTACAAAGAATACCATATTGTGTGCCCACGCCATAGAAAAAGGATGGCGAATGAAACAATTCGGCGTAATGATTAAATGACATAACCAGATCACATGGTAAAGTCCGACTCGATAAAAATAGTAGCATTGTACGTCAATGAGGTACATGGCGCGGTACGTACCCAAAAGTTTAAAATCCAATCAACACTTCCAATTGGTCATTTGGTGTGGATACGTACAGAAAGTCGAGTTACAGAATTGATCCTATTCATCAGCTTCGGAAGCTGCTCAAGCTTGGCCAATATAAAATATTCCTACAAATAAGAACTTCTAGAGCCCTTCTTTTCTTTTACACGGTACCTAATTAAATCCTATGCCTACCGTAATCAGCATATGCTTATCAGAAGCACCAGGTAAACTAGTCGGAATATCCGAACACCTGGGCGAACGTTCTAAGCCGTGGACTTTCCTACTAAGAACGGACTATTAGAGTATGCTGATGTCAGTTTACCACGCGTGCTGAGAATGACTTGCCTGAAACACCCTATTAACGGCCCACCGAGAGTCTCTAAATCAGCTCCTCACATATTGACTCATTTACGAGACATTCTCTTGGGAAGGACATATCAGTAGGCCCATATCCAAATTGTAGGATTTATCCTATACGATTTACAACAATGCCAGACTATTTCGATCGAGGTGACGTGATGGTTAAATTGCTTCTAGCACGAAAGCTCGTTAAGGTATCATATGACAAAGATATGAGCGAGGACAGAGCTTCGGCGCTGCTGCTCGAGAACACGTTAAATATGTATCAAAAGAAAGGTACCAAAACCATCAGTTGTTACGCTTCATAAAGGATACTCACAGAGCATAGGCAACAAGTCAGAACGTAAGTAAACAAGAGCTTTAGCATCATCTATTTCCTAGCATAGTTATAGAAATCATTCCTTCCAGTTATAGTCACATCTTATTCCAGTCTCGGGAAAGATGGTGCTACATCACGAGTATATCTACCTAGGCATGGATTATATGACCAATGCAATTTTCCTCGGGTAGTTACATCATAATACAGTCCAGTTGACGAAGTTTTCACGATAAGGAGGATATTCAACTATTTGGAATTATGAAGTCGACATATCACGTATACAGTTAGATGGTACATAGTCTCAGCAACTCGTAAGCGCATGTAGTCGAAAAGCTAAAGACAACTTTCACATAAAAAAAATAAAAACGACCATTACTTATAGGTATCTATCTAACTAGATAAAATCGTAAGTATGAAAGTAGAACGATCTATCAACAAAAAAGTTACGACTTTGAGGTAGTTATCAAGTTTGCCAAACTTGTAAGGTGATATGTCAAGGTGGAAATGATTGGACCTCGGCGGGAAGACAGAGTAGGGCAAGGGTCTAACCTGGCAAAGTACCAAGTATCGGCTTACACACACACGCACACAAAACAATTTACGCAAACCATTATATACCGCAAATTCAATTCGACAATCACCAATGAACGCCCGGTTAGCTCAATCGGTAGAGCGTGAGACTCTTAATCTCAAGGTTGCGGGTAAGTTCTTGATGTAATTCACACATCTCATAACACACCAGCTAACATCATCTCCAAGGTTCGACCCCCGCATCGGGCTCAATTCCTGATGCTTCCCAGTACACTGGGATAAGCAACCTCCTTATTTTTTTTTCTTTTTCTTTTTTTACCCTTTTCCATTGTAATCGATTTTTTTTATTCTATAATATTTTTTACGTAGGCGCTTGTCATACTCATACTCTGCCACACTCTCTTGATATTTCCACCCTGTGCCCTCTTTCCTTTTTTTTCCACTCCGGCCCCGCAGCGCATAAGTAGATGCGGGTTGCTGTAGTTGCTTTTTGGTTATCTCGCTTTCTCTTCCGAAGTTACTGCATTCTGCGATCCTACTCCATACTACACAATCGTGCCGATCATGGCAGATAGTACCTGAAGCTTGCAACCTATTCCACTATACCTCATGTGCAACAAGGTGTGCCGCTGTTGAGTTCAGTCCACTTGTTACACCAGCGACACGCCGGAGTTTCTTCGTGGTGGAACGACGTCAATGCCGTGCTTCATAAGATCCCCCCACCGGGCCTGTCGTTTCAAGTCGATGATCCGACACGAATTCCAACACTCATCGAGTGTGAGCGTCAGCCGATGACAGATGAAGTAAACGGTCAGTGGTTTAGCATAATCTTGAAGCTGGCCGTGATACAATAACCCAAGCCCGCGCTTGTCCAAGATTTAAATCCTATTCCTAAGAAGCAGGATATCGAATATGCTAATATGCTAGGTTGGTGGCACATCTCTTCGCCTTAAAGTATGCCACACAACTTTTTTGTTAGTGTTGGTCTGATCACATAACACATTCGAGAGAGCAGCCCTATTCTTGACACCTTAACCTCTTGAGCGATGAAGGTGATTTTGCATCTACCACAATACCTGAGAACTCCGGTCTCTAACAGTAACGTAAACATGTAAACTTAAAAAATGCTGCTCCAATCCCAACTGCTTACTGGAAACACTTCAAAAGCGATGAATCAAACCCCCCTTTTCCTTAATGCTCAGACCCTCCCAAACGCCATTGCCATGCAAACCCTTAGAATGTCTAGAACACGCTATGCTTGCTCCATTTATTAGCAGCTCTTATCCGCCTTCCGAAGAAATAGAAGACAAACGGCACGGGGATCAATAAGCATGCAAACCCAGCAAAGATGCTCGATCCCGGGCCGACTCCGATGTTGTGATACAAAGGCGTGACAACCAGAGGAAATGCGGCAGCAAAGCAGCTCCGCAAGAACGTATTAGCAGCTACGGCACTTGCTGCGTACATCTGGAAAGTGTCGACGAGATAGTTGAGCGCGGCTTGGAAGATCGTGTTAAAACCGCATCCAGCCAAGTAAAGCCCGATGACGGGCGCGATCCAGGGGGCGACGGTTGGTTCGGCAGTCCATCCGGTGATGAACTGGCCCACTGCAAAGAGAACGGAACCTAACATCATGGGAGGTAGCCTCTTTTCGGGGACCGGCCTGTCCCCCGAAGCGTGATAAGCTTTATTGTAATATAGCTGGTTAGACATGTTGATAACTGCACCGGTTAATGAGCCAAGGCAAATGGCTAGAAACGGCAGTTCGCTCGATAACAGTGTCCATCCCCTAATTTCTCCGAATATAATTGGCACCGCACCGAGCTGCATGTAAAGGATACCGTAACAGAAGCTCGCATACAAAGCAATCAGGAAGCAAATCGGCGTGCAAAGCAGCTGGAGCGGGCGAATAAGAAACTTCCGCGCGAGTTCCATAATACTCACATCCCATTCTTCGAACTTCGCATGCAACGCCCAGTTACCCGTCTCTAGTCGTAACTGTCTGGCTTTAGTGACAAGAAGCCTCGGCGGATATGACTCGTCGATGAATATGACGGCCAATACTAGAACGACTGACTGCAGCATACCCGTAGTATACTCTGTCCATCGCCAGCCTAAGTTTGGCTGCGCTACCACAGCGGCCGACACGATGGGGCCAACTGTCGGTCCTCCCACGACCGCCATCGCATACCCCGCCATAGCGATGCCGCGGTAAGCCGGCGTGAATAAGTCGCCTAGGACGCCGCCGGTATTCGTCACCGGAGCAGAAGCAAAGATGGCGCCCCAGAATCGCGTCAGCATAAGGGTCTGGAAGTCTTTCGCGGTAGCTGAGCCGAACGAGAAACATATGGAAATAAACATAGGCGTCAGTACCGCCACGCGCCGACCGTACACTTCGGATAACGGCGCCCATATCAAAGGCCCTATTCCAAAACCAAGGAGAAAGAGAGTCGTTCCCAACGTCGCCGTTTGTCTCCCAACACCAAACTGCTCTGCGATCTGCATAGTACCAGCAGAATAGGACGAAGACGCCCAAGTCGCAGTCATGGTAACTAGACCATAGAGGAGAGTTGTGACGACCTTTTTGTGCCGCGGCCAGTTTACAGGGCGGTAGGGGTCGTCCGGCCCGTCGAAGTCCACGAGATATTCGTGTCCAGTCTTCACTTTTGCAAGCGGGTGGCGGAACGGCGGCACTTCTGGACGGGACCGTATCCGCGATAGTACGGTATCTCTACGCGACACCGTCCGCGATATTGGCCCCGACAATCCGTCCGAGCCATCCCGACCGCTTGCACGTATCTGAGACGGGCGCGTGTCGAGAGTGCATGGTCTGTGGCCGTCGTGGTCCTTTTCGCTCGGCGGGCATTCGCAAGACGAATCCGAGTCGGGTTCGGTCGCGGGCGAGTCTGCATCTGGCACAGGTGTCCTTAGAGGACCTCTACGCGAGCGTTCGGACTTGTCATCGTCGTCGGTTATCGACATTCTTGGCTTCTAAAATATGTCCGGTAATAAGTATGTACAGAAAAAGACTAATAGCATAGTTGGAAATAGTCAATGGCGTCACTTGGGTGAATAGTAAATAATTTACATCATAGCCGGGGTAGTGAAATACATAGTAGTACTTAAATATGTGAAAAGTCCCCCGGTTCTGATGACGTAGTCGTTCTCCAAGAACTTTCGATGCTTGAAAGCAAACGGCTTTCTATTTCAACTAACCTTCTTCAGGCACTTGAACAAGCGTTCGTACCTACTACGATTCACTAAATAAGAAAATGTAAGTGGCAATTGCTCCTTTAACACCGCCGCTGCTTCATGACGATCGCCTAAGAAATCATCCCACAGGCAATAACACCTGAGGGAACCCCAGACGATTTTCCATCCGGCCCCGCTCCGGCCAAGCCCGTATCCGAGGGCTCCGGGAACCCCCGAAAGCTACCTACGTAAGGTTAAGGTCCCGCCGACTTCACTCTATGATCATGGACAGTCAACACAGAATCTCGCTTATGCTTTGAAGCTACAATATCAGGGAAGTATATTGCAATTATTAAACTTATACTGGCTAATTTTATACATTTTAGAGCTTCGAATTACTCAGTAATCCAAGTAGAATATCAGCACCACAAAGTCCCTACGGCTACACGTCAACGAAATTCACGTAAAACTAAATGAGATGAATCTCTATGTATGTATTAAGTCTATATGCAAGTCCTACCGCACATAAATCATTAGGTATCTCTAGTCTATCGTGTCTAAATACAATTTTATACAAAGATCATAAGCAATTTTATAAGCTGGGGTTGAATCTCTTGCGAATGCGCTCGCCAAAGATGAAAAATATTACCGGGATCGGGATGAGCCCGAGCGCGATGAACCCGAGAAGACTGTTGCCCCATCCTAGGCCTAGTGCATTGTACATGTCGAGCCCACCGAGGGGTAGGAGGGCACCCATGAGTGATCGGAGTACGGTCATAGCGGCTGTGACGGAGGCCGCGTATTGGATGTATGTATCAAGGAGGTAGTTTTGGACGCAGGACTGATTTGAATGTTAGTATATTATCACAGCTAGTGAAAATCTTAGAATTGTAACTTACCATGACACCCATGAGCCCCGCCGCGAAGATGAGAACACCGAGCATGGGAACAATCCAGTGCACGCCGAAGTTGGCAGTCCATCCGTAGATGAACAAGCCGATAGGGAGCGTGATTCCGCAAGGAACTGTGAGCATCGGTGAAATACGGATCTCCGGCTTGTGAGCGAGCCCCTTCTCCTTGTTTTTCCGAACCATGTAGTCGGTGAGCTGTCCGAAACCCACAACACCGATCATCATGCCTATTCCGGCAGGAAGGTAAGTCAGGCCGCTGTCGCCCTCGCCGAAGCCGTAGTTTTCGGTGTAGACAAAGGAAAAGGTCGTGATAAGAAGATACAGAATGCCGTAGGTGATGGCGACGTATAGAGACATTAGAGTAACAATCGGTGTCAGTAGGAGGAGCTTCATCGGGCGGACGATGGCCAGCTTGAACTGGTCCTTGGGAGTGAGGCGTCCTGACAATTTGCTGCGTAAGTTCTGGTTGCCGGTCTCTTTGCGGAGTCTTTTAACTTTGTTCGATAGTAACACGGGGCCGAATGTCTCCCGGAGGAAGAAGAACGAAAGGGGGATAAAAGCGCCGCCCTGGATTCATGTTAGCTGATGCATCGCAATAAGGGATGTGTCGCATAAGTCAACTTACCAGAATGACAATGAGCCAGTATACCCATCTCCACCCAGCAGCCTCGATCAGATAACCACCAGCAATAGGGCCAACGCAAGGCCCAAGAAGGGGACCCAACGCCCAAGCGGACATGGCCCGCCCGCGCTTCTCAATAGGCATCAAGTCCGCAATGCTACCGCTTCCAATAGTGATAGGCACGGATCCGGCAAGACCCATAAGTAGTCGGAAAGCCATCAACATTCCGATGCTAGTGCTGAGAGCGGCGCCGACCGAAAAGATGACGAAAAGAACGTTGCCGTACACGTACAGGGGGCGACGGCCGAAGATCTCACTCATCGGCGCTATGAGCAGCGGGCCGAAGGCAAATCCTAGGATATATACCGAGACAAGGAAGGTAGCTATGGTGGTAGAGGTCTCATGGAATTCTACCATGATGCCGGGGATACCAGGGGCAAACATGGAAGATCCTAGTGGACTGTGTGATAGGTGTTAGTATACCATCGAGAATAGAGAGAATCTTTAGTAACATGGATTGTTAC